ATACCCACAAAATAGCCATTTGATGGGAAACATGAGGTTCTAAACAAGCGTATTGGGTGGTTTTCCTCTAAATTTGTAGACAAACCCCATCACCATAAAATATGCCCCGAATATGCCATTTCAGAGGTTTTGATCCATTCTTAATGAGGCGAAAAAAAATGTTCTGGGTAAATTGTCATAGCTCACCTGAAAAGTTCAGTCATTTGGGGAAGCTTCCCCAAAAAAAAAATCCCCACGAGTCCGTGGCACATATGGCACCCAACCAGATAGATAAACCATAGATAAACCATAGATAAACCATAGTAATGTTGGATTGTTACTGTTGGGCTGTTGGGATTTAATGGAAGTATCCAGTGGTTGACCTACCCCTCTGAAAAATGATGGAGTTCTTCAGTTGGGTGTATGAAATTCCCAACTGAATGGAAAAATAAAATTCATGTTCCAAACCACCAACCAGATCCCATTTTCATGCTGCTTGGTTGTCAATTGCCTCACAATTAACTCAACTGATACTTGATCATGCAAAGCTGGAAATAGTTTTCATAAACCCCTTAAGTATCATATTATCACACCCAAGAATGCATAAACCATGGTAACCATTAATCCGGAGTTGACATTACACACAACAAAATACTTCCATTAATTTCCATTTTATAACTATAATATATATATATATGTACAAATCATTACAAATCCCATTTCATTTTGCTTGCGATCCATTACGATCATTTTTGATGCTTACATCCCCATCCTGAACATTACAATGTTCACCATCGCCGATATAATTGCTACAACAACCAATTGATAATATAGACGGGAACCCCCTTAATTTTAGATAATTATAAGTTATAAGGATCCTCCTAATTAATATAATGCAACAAACGATGGGAAACAAATGAACCCATCCACACTTACCTTTCCGCGTTTTGGCGCAGGGGCTGTTAGGAGAAGAACCATCCACATGGCGATATTCGCCGCGCACACCTGCCGTTTGAACCCGGCATCTTTCGACATCTTTCGGCTTCAGAAATGGCGAAGTGACCCATCCCCAAAGGAAGTTGTGGGGTGAAGAGGAATGGACTTGCCAGCTAGTGGGATCCGATATTTTTTCATCATAATTCGTGTAGAATGTGTGTTGCTCAAAATCCCATGGAATATTGATAGTTCAAGTCCCATGTTTGACAAGTCTTCAAGTCTTCATAGTTTAAGTACATTAAAGCACCGTGTTTGCCAATTCTTCATACTTAAAATATCTTCAAATCCAATTTCTGGTTGGTGGTTTCAACTCCTCTGAATTATATGAAAGTCAGTTAGTTGGGATCATTATTCCCGACTGAATGGAAAAATAAAATTCATGTTCCAAACCACCAACCAGATTTGTTCTGCTTGAAGACACCCTTTCGTCGCTTGCAAATCCGCACAACGCACAGCCAGGCATCGTCGCCTCCCAGTACCAGCCGTCCAAGGTTTGAATGACAAAGATCTCCCTCACCTGACTGTGGATTTTTGGGGATTCTTGGGATTGAATGTGATTTAATGGGAAAAGCCAACAACCACGGTAATTCAATGGAATCTAATGGGGAGCGTCATCATTTACAATAGTAATTCAACAGTTGGCTATGGAAGCCATGGCCTATTTAGTTCGATGGTTTAGTTTTGATCTTCCATGTTAAACTACCAGAGGGTAACCCATAGGTCTAGATTCTACATTATTTTATTCCCTAAAATTAGGGGTTTTATTCGCACCAATTAGATTTTACCCACAAAAACAGAGTCTTTAACCCAGTGAACCCACATCTTTTTCCACCAACAAAAAAGGGACATTAGCAGATTACAGAAACCACAACTGCCGGGATAGACCACATCAAGGTGGTCAACCCCCAGCGGTATGTAATTAACACATCCCAAGCATAGCCATGATAGAGGTTATAGGTGTTTACCCAGCGAAGCAAAAGCAAAACACCACATCATGCATGGGTCGAAGATGGTCGACATCTGACGCTCCTTGAACCCTGAAATGTTGAGATGATTTGCTAATAGTTGGATATATATATATGTTGAGATGCTTAACAATGTTTATATATATATATATGTATATAATAGTACTATATATTATATATATACATATATTATCTTGAGATATGTTGATAATGTAATTAACAACGTTGATAGATATAAGCCATAAACGTTGATATTGTAGCATTATTTATCATCATGTTGAGATTCTTTAGATATGTCCTAAGTGTATTTTTGAATCTCAACAGTGTTGGAAAGCTCTGGTTGGAGGCCTGTTGCTTTTCAATCCTCAGCCTGAAAATGGGTGATTGAGGTGTCCAATCTATTGTTATGTTCATAGGGGAAACCAGTTGTTTTTTATACATGTTTTGTTTAGACTATGAAATTTGGGAGTTTGGCATAAATTCAGACAAACCCCGATTTGGTGTTGGCAGATTGCACCTACCAGCCTTCAGTGCCAGGCGCAATGCCTTGAGGCATGGGCTGGACTGCACGTTGTGTCCCGCCCAACTCATTCCACTTGTCGACTGACAACGAAAATCCTCGCCCAGAAATGCCTTGGACATTGACCATGCAGAAAGAAATCCACCATAAGTTGGTTTATAAGCCCCAGTAACTATAGTTATAAGTACCATAAACCATAGTTATTGGAGTTATAAACCAACTTAGCTGGCACGATGTTCACGTTTGATCTCCTTGCGCTCGTCCAAACCTTCCAGCTGCCTCAAAATGGATCGACACCAGATCGACCGGATCGACCTTCGAGAGGCCTTGCTCTGATCAGATTTTGGCACACCAGGGAGTTCTTGAGCCAAACCAGCAATATTCGGAGATATCACCAGCAAACAAATATGACTTTAAGATAATATTTTTTTTAAATACCTTTCAATGAATTAACAATGTTAACAATAGATATGCAAAAATAAACCATTGCATGTAGAGCATATTATATGTTGCTTTTTGTTACTAACCATCGGTTCTTCTCCAGCTTTCGTACAAGGTGAGGCTCCCAACTTCGTTATATCTAAATCGTTCACCAGTGGTGAACTGTGCGTCAACTTAGCGATTTCGTAAATCAGCTCCAAATCCCATTCAATCACCATTTTTTCTGGGTTAAATCAATCAGTTTCCTATGGGTTTTCCTATGGTTTTCTCATCGCTATCTGAGAGCTGGGCAATAAATCCGGCTTGGCCCGCCAAGTGGAACCTGAAAGCATACAGTTTGCTGAGAAATCCAGCGATTTCCAATGGGGAAATCATGGGCAAAGCCCTTTATAAATATGGGTGATGGGAAAATCACTTCTACCCTCTGGTAGCATACAAAAAACTATGGAAAATTATCATTTTTAATAGGTAAATCAAGTATAAATGGCCATTTTCAATAGCTATGTCAAATTACCAGAGGGTAAATCCTATGAACAATGGAGACATATATGGGAACATCATTGGAAAATATGAGAAAATACAGCAAATCCCTGAAAATATCGGAAAATCATCGAAGTAATGGTGGATGTTTCAGCAAGCCACGTTTGATTACCGGAGGGTAAATCCTCAGCTTCTAGATGTTCTACGGTCAAAAACATGGTTTCTGATGGTTTCTGTTCATCTATGATAACGAGAAGCCTCAACAATGGGTATATCATGCTACGTATATAAATTCCTTTTAATCGATTGATGACCCGATGACCATCCCACAATATGGGTATTTTTAATTAGTTTGATGTATTTACATATGTTTCTGTCATTTTTTGTTGGAACGGGAAAATTGGTCAAAACAGATGAAAACTAGGCACCGTTGGACTCGCACAATTTGACTCTTTGAGAATTCCCCTTCGGTAATCAAACGTGGCGATGGCAAATCCTATGCGCATTATAGCTCGCAGAATCATCGAACTAAATTGCGTTTTTCCCCACCTGCCAGGTGAGGGTTGTTAGATTTTATCAGAGCTGTTGTCCTCCTCCTCCTCCTCGTCCTCCTCCTCCTCCAGTTTCTCCAGTGTGCACTGCTGGACCTCAACCTGGGACCTTCCCAGCTCAATGTGCACCGCTGGGCCTCAACCTGGGACCTTCCCAGCTCAGTGTGCACCGCTGGACCTCAACCTGGGACATTCCCAGCTCAGTGTGCACCGCTGGACCTCAACCTGGGACCTTCCCAGCTCAGTGTGCACCGCTGGGCCTCAACCTGGGACCTGCCCAGCTCAGTGTGCACCGCTGGACCTCAACGGCCAGATAGAATGCCAGAAGATATGCCAGATAGAAAGCTATAAGATATGCCAGATAGAATGCCAGAAGATATGCCAGATAGAATGCCAGAAGATATGCCAGATAGAATGCCAGAAGGTATGCCAGATAGAATACCAGAAGATATGCCAGATAGAATGCCAGAAGGTATGCCAGATAGAATACCAGATAAAATGTCAGATAGAATGCCAGAAGATATGCCAGATAGAAAGCTATAAGATATGCCAGATAGAATGCCAGAAGATATGCCAGATAGAATGCCAGAAGATATGCCAGATAGAATGCCAGAAGGTATGCCAGATAGAATACCAGATAAAATGTCAGATAGAATGCCAGAAGATATGCCAAATAAAGTGCCAGAATGTTTGCCAGATAGAATGCCAGAAGATTTGCCAGATAATATGCCAGATAGAATGCCGGAAGATATGCCAGAACATATGCCAGGTAGAATGCCAGAAGATATGCCAGATAGAATGTCAGATAGAATGCCAGAAGGTATGCCAGATAAAGTGCCAGAATGTTTGACAGATAGAATGCCAGAAGATATGCCAGATAATATGCCAGAAGATATGCCAGATAGAATGCCAGATAGAATGCCAGAAGATATGCCAGAACATATGCCAGAAGATATGCCAGGTAGAATGCCAGAAGATATGCCAGAAGATATGCCAGATAGAATGCCAGAAGGTATGCCAGATAGAATGCCAGATAAAATGTCAATAGAATGCATGGTGGGGATCACA